TCAGAAAATGCCTTTAGAACCAATTTATAAATGCCAGGAGAAAATCAGTCTTGTTATTCTATAATTATCTCTTTTTTACAAGCAAACGTACCATTCTCCAGCTTGATGATTCATCTTATTTGCCTCAAGATAACTTCTGGCAGTACAGTACTCAAGAGCAAGAACACTGGAGCCAGATGTCTGCGTTTAAATTCTGTCTGTTTCTCACTTACTAGTTGTGTGACTTTGGGCAGGTTATTTATTCTTTTTAGTCCTCAGCTTTCCTCTCAACATAATGATTAAAATAATAATACCTAACTCATAGGGTTGTTATATTTGTACAGAAAAACACAACAGTGCCTGGTAATACCAAGTGCTATTTAAGCACTTGCTAATATTAGTGGTATTAGCATTTTAAGGAATCCCAAAATTATTTTTTGCCTTGCAGGATCACTGGATTACATATATATTTCCAAATATGTCTACATGGAGGAGAATGCAAATTTGGATACATGAGTTTTGGTATACATTAAAATAAATCAATCATATACTATCTTCTAGTTCACTTTTCAGTATCTGACATGAATTCAGAGAATCCCATATCTCAAGTAGATCTCCTAAAATAAAAATGGTAATGTTTTACACATTCAATGTTAAATATATTAAAGGAAAAAACATTATTTTGTAACTATTTGAATTTTCCCTTTTTTGAAAATGAACTTGTTTTGGCGGCATTCTAACACTAGGGTTTATGGTCAATTTAAGTTCCTTGTCCCATATCAGGGGAAAAAACTTGACAGTTGCCCTTAAATGCTAGAGACATAATTGTTAAAATGTTTGATAACTTACTGGATTTGCTTTATTCCAGGCAAGGCTGCTCACATTAAGGCCTTTGGTTAAGTCACAGGAAAAAGACCAAAGTCGTTCCAGATTGGCTGGTATTGTTGATTTTTCTGCACCTATTTCTATTTCTTCTTCCTCCTCCTTCTTAGCTTCTTCCACTACTTCTTCATGTTTTTCACTTTCTAAAAAGTCTTTAGGCTCTTCGGGTTCACGTTCTAAATTAAATTAAATAAAAAGATCATTCTGCCAGGCACGGTAGCTCATGCCTATAATCCCAGCACTTTGGGAGGCTGAGGTGGGAGGACTGCTTGAGGCCAGGAGTTCAAGACCAGCCTGGACATCATAGCGAGACCCCATCTTTACAAATAAATAAATTAGCCAGACATAGTGGTGTGCACTTGTAGTCCCAGCTACTTGGGAGGCAGAAGTGGGAGAATCGCTTGAGCCCAGGAGTTCAAGGCTGCAGGGAGCTATGATCATGTCATTGCACTCCAGCCTGGGTGACAGAGTGAGACCCTGTCTCAAAAAAAAAGAAAAAAATCATTGTCCTCTACATGTATAGAGGCCTGCCAAAGGCTGCAAACAGCGCCTCTGTCTACCACTGATATTTTAAGCACCATTAGATCTGCTGGATCATATGGCCCAAATGACAGGGCACCTTGAATGGCAGCCTGGACCTGTTACAGTCTTCTGTTGTTCTGGGCCCCACTCAAATCTCGCAGCTTTTCTGGTCACTCAGTAAACAGGCCAGTGTAGCACATCCAAATGACAAATATGTTGTCCCTCAAATTTAAAGAGATCCCATTAGGCATTTTGCTTCTTTTTGGGTTTCAAAAGGTGCCAGGAGCAACAACTTATCCCTCACCTTAGAAGGTATATCGCAACACGTCCCACGCCACCTAGAAATTTCACGGGGGTATTATAGAAGTCCCCCTGAAATTTTGTCAGATTTACTTCTTACCCTCTGACAGGCAACTGTCTTACTAATAAGTCTACTTAATGTTTACTAAGTCCAATTAGCATAATATCGTCAATGGGATGGGTCAGTGTGGTGTCTTGTTGAAGGGAAAGTTTCCTGTAGCCTAAATTTTGACAGAGGGCTGAAGAATTGATATACCCCTGAGGTAGGACAGTGAAGGTATATTGATGGCCTGGCCAGCTGAAAACAAATGGCTTCCAGTAGTTTTTTACAAAAAGACATTGAAATAAAAAAAAGCATTTGCCTTCTCAATAGCTACATACCATGTACAAGGGAGCTGTCTTAATTTGCTTAACGAAACCTCATCTGCAACAGCAGTCGCAATTGGAGTCACCACCTAGTCACATTCATAATAATCCACTGTCATTCTCCGTTTTCTACACAAGCCATACAAGTGAGCTGAGTGGGAAATGTGGTGGGAATCAACATCCTTGCATATTTCAAGTCCTTGACAGTGGCCCTCATCTCTGAAATTCCTCCAGGAATGTGCTATTGCTTCTGTTTTACTATCATTATCACCCAGAGTCCACAGTTAACATTAGAGCTCACTCTCGGTGTTGTATACTCTATGAGTTTTGACGAATGTATAATGACAGGTATCCACCATTATAGTGTCATATAGAATAGTTTCATTGCCCTAAAAATCTTCTGTGCTCTGCCTGTTAATCCTTCCATGCCTCCTCACCCCTGGAAACCACTGATCTTTTTACCATCTCCATAGTTTTGTCTTTTCCAAAATGTCCCATAGTTGGAATCATACAGTATGTGCCCTTTTCAGATGGGCCTTGTTCATTTAATAATATGCATTTAAGTTTCCTCCATGACTGTTCATGGCTTGCTATAATAACTTAGTGCTGAATAATATTCCATTGTCTGGCTGTATCATAGTTTATTTATCCATTTACCTAATGAAGGACATCTTGGTTGCTTCCAAGTTTTGGCAATTATGAATAAAGCTGCTATAAACATCCGCAGGTGCAGGTTTTTGTGTGGACACAAGTTTTCAGCTCAGTTGGATAAATATCAGGAGTGAGTGCTAAATTATATGGTAAGAGTATGTTTAGTTGTATAAGAAATTGCCAAACTACCTTCCAAAGTGGATATACCATTGCGCATTCCCACCAGCATGAATGAGAGTTCTTGTTGCTCCATATCTTCACCAGCATTTGGTGTTATCAGTGTTTTGGATAGAGGCATTTTAATAGGTGTGTAGTGGTATCTCTTCGTTGTTTTAGTTTTCAATTCTCTGATTACATAAGATGTTGAATATCTTTTTACATGCTGCTTTGCCATCTGTATTTCTTCTTTGGTGAGGCATCTTTTCAGGTCTTTTACCCATTTGTTAATTATGTTGTTTGTTTTCTTATTTGGGGGTTTTAAGAGGTCTTTGTATATTTTGGATAACAGTTATTTATCAGATGTGTCTTTTGCAAATATTTTCTCCAGTATGTGACTTGTCTTCTTATTCTCTTTGCAGTGTCTTTTGCAGAGCAGACGTTGTTAATTTTAATGAAATACAACTTATCAATTATTTCTCTCAATGGATCACGCCTTTGGTGTTGTATTTAAAGGTCATTGAAATACCCAAGGTCATCTAGTGTTTCTCCTATGTTATCTTCTAGGAGTTTTATAGTTTTACATTTTACATTTAGGTTTATGATCCATTTGAGTTAACTTTTGTTAGGGGTATAAGGTCTGTGTTTAGATTCATTTTTTAGCACCATTTGTTGAAAATGTTTGCTTTTCTTCTTTTGTCAAAGATGAGTTGACTGGCCGGGCGCAGTGGCTCATGCCTGTAATCCTAGCTCTCTGGGAGGCCCAGGCAGGCGGATTGTTTGAGCTCAGGAGTTCGAGACCAGCCTGAGCAAGAGCGAGACCCCATCTCTACTAAAAATAGAAAGAAATTAATCGTGGACAACTAAAAATATATAGAAAAAACTAGCCGGGCATGGTGGCGCATGCCTGTAGTCCCAGCTACTGGGAAGGCTGAGGCAGGAAGATCGCTTGAGCCCAGGAGTTTGAGGTTGCTGTGAGCTAGGCTGATGCCACGGCACTCTAGCCCGGGCAACACAGTGAGACTCTGTCTCAAAAAAAAAAAAAAAAAAAAATGAGTTGACTATATTTAGGTGGGTCTATTTCTGGGCACTCTATTCTATTTTGTTCTATATTTTTGTCTGTTCTCTTGCCAATATTATACTGTCTTGACCACATTGCTTTATGGTAAGTCTTGAAGTCAGGTAGTGTCGGTTCTCTGATTTTGTTCTTCTCCTTAATATTGTTTTGAGTATTCCGGGCATGATAGCTTTTTAAAAGTCCTTGTATTCTTTTTCCACCATCTTATTCATCTTTTCATCTATTTCTATTGACTGATTTTTCTTGTAGTTATGGGTCACATTTTCCTGCTTCTTCACATTACTAGTAATTTTGGGGGAGGATATTGGACATTGTAAATGTTGCAACATTGAATGTCTGAATTGTGTTTTCTTCCTTTAAAAAGCATTGAAGTTTCTTTTAGCAAGCAATTAATTTACTTTTGGATTAGCTTGATATGTTTAAGGCTATTTCTAAAGAGTTGTTGGGAGGTATAGACCAGCCTTTACTCTAGGGCTAGTCTAGCCATACTGTTAAGGTATCCGCCCATCTGGATATCTGCTGAACACCTCAGGTGTGCAACAAGGTCTCTCTCTCTGGCTAGTCAGAACTCAAATGTCTTCTTGTCTTGCATGAACTCTGAAACTTGTTCATCTTAGAGCTCCCTGGTAGTTGTTTCTTGCTTGACTTTGTGGAGTTTTATCCAAACATACACAGCTTAGGTTGTAGTCAAAGACTCAATGGTAGATTTATACAGGTTTTTCCTGTGCATAACTCCTCCTATCTGATTCCCTGTCCACCATTTCCAGCCATGTTGCCTTCCCTGAACTCATATCTATGTCTCATCAAAGAAGCAAAACCACTACACTCTGCTATAGTTCTCATGCCTGCCCTGTGGTCTCATAACTACCTATATCCTAAGTAAAAGTAGAAGCCCTATTTCATCTTTTCTAAATGATAAATGATGGGTTCCCAAATTGCTATGGTAGGCTTCCAGTCATTATGGATTAATTGTATTTGACTTGCCCTCCTACCATCAACAAACAAAAAAACTGAATTAGATATGAAGTAACTGTTTTCAGGCACTGAAAAATAGACAGTGCAGGACTGTAAATTACATGGTCAACCTCACTTTCAGGCTGGGGACAATTTCCTGATCACAGTGCTGGGAAGTGCAGGCTAAGCAAAACAACCATCTAGCTGAGTTGAGGAGACAGAGATCAGAGTTCAAAAAGGCAGAGATTGTTAGACTGTGTAAAAAAAAAATCAAGACCCAACTATACATTGTTTACAAGCGATACATTTTAAACATAAAAACAAAAACATGTTAAAAGGTAGGAAAAATACATACCACGTAAATACTGAAAGATTAGAAAGCTGGTGTGGCTATATTAATATTACACAAATTAAACTTCAACACAGAGTATTACCAGAGATAAATATGGGCATTTCATAATGATAAAAGGGTAGAGAATGATAAAAAGATAGTATATTAGTCAGGCTCTTCCAGAGACAATGAACCAATAGAATATATAGAGAGAGAGAGAGAGATAAGAGAGGGGATTTATTAGAGGAATTGGCTTATGCAATTATGGAAGCTGAGAAGTTCCACAATATGCTACCTGTAAGCTGGAGAACCAGGTAAGCTAGTAGCATGGCTCAGACCAAGTCCAAAAGCCTCAGAACCAGGGAAGCTGATGGTATAACTCTCACTCCAAGGCTAAAGGCCTAAAAACTTGGGGGGGGCCACTGGTACAAATCCCAGAGTCCAAAGACCAGTGAGCCTAGAGTTCTGATGTCCAAGGGCAGGAGAAGAGGGTGTCCCAACTCCAGAAGGGAGAGAGTGAGGTTGCCTTTCCTCTGCCTTTTTGTTCTGTCTGAGCCTTCAGGTGATTGGATGGCGGATCTTCTTTACTCAGTCCAGTGATTCAAATGCTAATCTCTTTCAGAAACACACTCACACAAATAATGCTTATCAGCTATCTGGGTATCCCTTAATCCAGTCAAGTTGGCACCCCAAATTAATTATCACAGATAGCATCCAGAAGATAGAACAATTTTAAATTTGAATGTACCTGACAACAAAGCTCTCAACTATATGGAGCAAAATTGATAAAACTAAAGGAAAGTATAGATAAATCCATA